AATAGCAGTGAGAAGCACAGCACTGCACTAAGCTCTGGTTTCTCCACACCAGCAGCCAACCAGCCAGGCTTGGACAGATCGGTGTTCAGCTCCATGTTGTGTTTCTCCTCCCTGTCCTTGACAGAGAAACCGGCCCACATGAACACCATCCACTGGGTCATGCTCAGGAGGCTGATCAAGAAGCTCATGGTCAAAGGGAAGGCCTGAACACTAGTGAGCACCTACAGCCATGCCAGGACTGGAATAGTTGAAAGCAATGAATAACCAGGATAATAGGAAAAGCAAGAATTTGCTGATGAAAGTTCAGTTTAAAGACTACTACAGATTTAGTTATCTGAACAGCATGCCTTTTAAAAACCCTGTTCCTCTTTTCAGTGAGGTTTTCAATCTAGATCTGGAAATCAACACAAACTTCAGACAAGCAACAAAGCAAGCAGAAACTAAAAGGGAAAGGTCATATATTTTGTGCATGCCTGGGAAATGACGCTGTTTGTATGATGACGGCAACAGATTTTTCTAGTTTTCCTTCTTAAAATGTATATGCTCAAGTGGGAGTCGGAAACTTTGAAAGACAACGTCGTCTTGAAAAACATGGAAAGGACATCCATATGGATACACAAGGGTATAAACTGACGTAAGCATGCAGCAGCTTCCTAATCAACCAAGGTTAAAGAAAAACAAAATGACATGCATGTCCTTCCAATCTGCACTTTTTTGGCTTAACCATTCATTCGTGATGGCTCTCTGATTGACGCTGTTTCGTGATTTGCCCCCACAACCCTCATTGTACCCAAATGAGATCCCTCTTGCACTCTGGTTCACATGCAACCTCTTCCACTTGCTCACCTAATGTAGGAGCCTGGCAGGAACTGACCTATGCCCTTTGCTCATCTGGAATTGCACAAACCATGCCTTTCACCAAAAACGTGTAAAGTCTAACAGTTTTAATACAATGCTTATACACATGGCACATTTGGACATCCCCGGATGTTCCTTGAAAGTGTATTGTCAACGAGCAGAGCTACGGCCAAAAAGTACCACAGGATGCTCAAAGCAAGCCACAGAAGCCAATATCCATGCGTCTAAGGGTAACACTGCTTAAATTCATATACAGACAGATGGTTTTCTGTTGTAGTTTGGAGCCTCCGAGTAGATGGCCTGGCTGTGGGTTTTGCTATGCTTCAAAAACTGGGCTATAGGTAATGTGTCTAGAGACCACATCGAGGTCATCTGTCAAATCCTGACCTTGTCTCCAGCCATCAAACTGCGCCCATCCAGCGTGAAGGCTCTTCGCATCCTTCCTTAGGATGAACTGCCTGACAAATCCATCCCCTTCTTCTCCACTTGGGAAAAGAAATCTCCAGTTTTCACAGGGAACACATTCCTGCCCACAACAGCCAAACTTCTACATACAATCAATCTCCTGTTTTTGCTATGAATTTACCAATTTAGAAAGTTGTTCTTCAAGTTACAAGAGCAAAAAGACATTTCACTGCAGGTTACTAAAAACTTTGGTCTTGTTATATGAATTATGGATAATAATGATTCAAAAGCAGAGATATTTTTTTCCCTAAACTTTTTCAGACTGAAAATGCAACTTTATAATCATTATAACCTTTTCCTCCAATAGAGAGGAGAGGTTCTTTGCTATTTTCTTGAGCTGTAAAGGAGCCTGGATATCTGCCATACTTTCTGGTGTGCACAAATGGCATCCCCTGCACCAAAGAAGAAACAACAGATTTTTACAAGTATCTGCGCAGCACAAGTGTGCTTTCTTCAAACCTCTCAGAACTGCACTCATTTGCAGCTTATTAACTCAATACTCGACAAAAGTCAGTGTATAATCATATACATACACTCTATCAGCAAGAAAAAATAAATCTGTTTATATTAAAATCACAAATATTTTCCTGTTCTTTATAAGAAAAAGTCAAATGACATTTTGAGCACATAAGAAAGGAAGGAACACCTCCCATTTACCATCTGTTTTAAATTGTCCATTGTTTAGTAATGATGGCAATAGATATGGTGCCTCTTAGGAGGAAAAAAAAAAAAAAAAAAGACAAAAAGACAAACCAAACCCCAAGCCTGATTATAAATCAAATGCCTTTTGGACGTTTGAGGCTCGTGGCACAATGTACGATAAAATCTGCTCTCATTTATTAATTTTATACTTGCATGATGAATCACGCAAGTGTATGAATATTTCTTTTGCACACAAAACAAAGCTGTATTTGTATATTTTTAGTTGTAAACTCAGTTTCTGTTCCAGGAAAGAATAACTAGATCTTAATGAAATAAGCTCATCACTGAGGAAGAAGCAGTTTGTAGGCATTACTCATATTTTCAAGGACAGAGTAGCAATTCCCTTGAATTCTGTGGACAGCTAGGAAAATTTAAAAAAAAAAAAAAAAGGGAATCCAAGAGGGGCGTGGACAGCTGGGAAAATTTAAAAAAAAAAAAAAAAGTGAATCCAGGAGTGGCCAAATTCCTGAGAAACAGAACATGAGAGATTACTACCACTCTGCCACTCACCTGCCTTTGGCACCTTAATCCATATGTTCCTCAACTGTCAAAAGGATCCCTCCCTCCTTTTGCTGTTACCAAGGGTTTCTTAAAAAAAAAAAATCTGTCTGTACAAGCACACTGACTGACATTTCACTTTGGTCACTGCAAGTCAAATGAAAGTCAAAGCCGTGGCGCTCAGACTTTCCCCTGTATATAAACACAGCACAAAACGGTCTGCTCAGTTTCTAGATGAAGCGATTGTATTTTCCCAGCCTGAGCAGAGATCACCGTGTTTTGACAGTTACTGCTACAGAGGCTGGCTTAGTCACGTTGGCAACGGCATCAGCCCAGTGGCACTCCTACCAGGGCCTCCAAAAACTGGTTAACTCCTTCACGGGCGGCAGTCATTGCTCCCGAGCTGGCTGCACCGTGGCTCGTTCCTGCCGTCAGGCGTGGGCGTGCAGCCTTGCGCGCTCTGGGTGGATCTGAAGGCGGCCGTAGGCTGACCACGCCGACACGTCCAGCAGTCACACGCTCTCTCATCCCTTCTACTCACGCTTGCTTGAAAGATGTGCTGGTATCCTGCATAAGCAAACGTTATTTCGCAGCTCTGCGGCTGCGAAGGCAGCGATGCTCAGGGCACTCCGCACCGTTAATCCACAGTGCAGAACCAAGGCTCTTCTCATTTTCACAACCAGAGAGCTTTTCAGTTTAGCATTTAGGGATGTGTCTTTTCCTCACTGGATTCTCAACGAAGCAATACGGGGACTTGCCAGGACCTTGCTGCTCTCTGGATAATAAACATATGAAGTCTTCTGTACAACAACTCTATTATTGTTTCAGCAACAACTAGCAGTGCACGCATTCTCCCCAGGGTACAGTAGTTAACGCTCTTTGAGCTCTCTTGCTTCTGCTAGTCATCAGCATCAAAATTTATACTGGCCTCAGAGAATGCTAGGTTTAGGAAAAAAAAAAAAAGGATATCATGAGTAATGTGTTCAGATGCAGAAAAAAAATGCACAGAGGAGTCCTGGATGTCTTGTGCAGCTGCCAAATTCATTTTGCAGATACAGATTTGACATCTAAGATCTTGTACCTAATGTGACTTGCATACTGCATGCTAAACCACAGAGCCATGTGGCAGTGTTCATCAATTACTGTATCATTGATGAAGTCATCTTGATAAACTGGTCACAAATGCATCAAGTTTCATTATTTTTCTCTTTTCAATAAGAACTAAAAAACCTTACAGAATAGAAGTGGTATTCCAGGAGTCCCATAAAGACACTTCTCCTGGGTTTGAAAGCACCTCACACGATTCCAATAGCCAATGTTCTCACTTTTCTGCTACTGCCTTTTTACATCGCAAGACAGACTGAAGGTGGGCATACATCTTACGTACATAAAGTGCGATACAGATGAAATTGGGTACAAAGCATTTGGCTTTGATCAGCACTTGCAATCGCATACTTGGACTTTATGAAATAGTGTCCTTTGAAACGCAGAGATTTAAAGTTCCTCTGGTGAACAACACCAGGTTCCCACGAGCGGATTCTCACCACCCTAAATGCCACAGTTTTTCCCATCTTAAGCTTCATTCCCAGGTTCCGGCCCCATTTGATACCATGCCAGCAGCTTCTCCAAAATGTGGCAAAACAGCAGCCTGAGTTTTCACATATACTACTAAATTAATGACTAAAAAATAGCATTGATTTCTTATCAAACTTACAGATAACTGTGGCGTCTGCTTAGTTTGTCTTCTCCTGTACTTAAAGTCTGGAGGCTTCTTCCCCATGACTGACTGAATTCTTTTTTGAATGCAAGCCAAGTCAAGTAAATTTGAGTATCTTCTTAGCATTTGTAGTGCTTTCAGTGTGGAAGTTCTATTTGTCTCTCGGTGATGACCATCCAGTAAAACATTTTATCACAACATAAATTCTGAAATACAGATACTTCTTTGAATCACTGCTTGTGAATTTAAAACAATTTTAAGTGAAAAGGGACCTTTGTAGTCTTTACCCAATCTCTTATTTCATACCCCAGTTAGGTCCTGCACTACAAAAGTCTTTGGTAGTACTTTGCCTAACCTTGGCAGTCACTCTCCCATGGAGGAGAATGCAGGAAAGAAGAGGAAAAAAACCAAAAATAGTATTCTACTGAAAAGTTTCCCTGCATAAAGAATTCAGAATATGTAGGAGCACATTCAGCCTTTACAGCACAAGGCTAGGAAATAGGAAATGCAATACCTGGTTCCTAAGCTATAGTTGCCTTATTGCAGGGTGATCTGGTTATATCCTTAAGCTTACTTTTTTCTTTTTTTTTTTTTTTTTTTTGTCCATGCATTTCCTTACAGAAATACTGTGAAAATATTAAGTGCTATAACAACGCATACCCTCTGAGTGCTACAAGTGCAACTATTACAGACTCTCACTGTTAAGGGCTATGATTTAACTTTGGTGGGTTGTGGTTTTTTTTTTCCTTTCTCCTCCAAGCTATCCCGTTCGGCAAAATCCCCATTCTGGAAGTAGATGGAGTTATCATTCACCAGAGCCTGGCAATAGCAAGATACCTTGCCAGAGAATCAGGTAACATATATTTGACTATTTTATTGCTCTTTTCTGCACCCACCTTTCATGCTCAGCAAAAATACATCCTACCACAGCAAAAATAGAAATAATTCAACAGCTTGGCAAGCCCAACCAAGCAGAAGTCAGGACCAGCACGGCAATACTGATATAAGGGTTTTCCAGGCACGAACAGCGAAGGGTTGTCAGCCTCGCATTGCATCTATAGTTTTTCTGTCAGTACCAAGTGCTGAGCCCAGAAATGCAGCATACCATATAGGATGCTATTAGAGGTGCTGCTCACAGAGCGATGGTTTAAAAAGCACCAAGGACTGCTGTGCAGCGGCATGCCCATGTTCAGCAGCCTTCCTTACTGCAATTTGGTGCCAGTTTTGCTCACTGGGTTGGGGCTGCTGTGGCAATCTTGATGAGATCTCAGGCTACAGCCCCTTCAGTTCCAACATCAGAAAGAAGAAACAGAGTAAGACACATCTGCAAGGATGCTGTACGACGGAGTTTAGAGTCACTCAATTGTCACGTAGAAAGTAAAAAGACAGACAAAAAAAGGTTCGAAATAAGAACCTGTAGTGTGAAATACTACGACATTCAGAGTTGAAGTCACATGGCTGAGCTCCATATTTGCACTGTAAGTGCATATGCTAAAATGAAACCTCAGAAGTAATTCCCCCTTACATCTGTTTCAGTTTCCCCTCTGCATACAATACCTGGGGTCTGGTCTGACTTCTTCCACCTTTATCTTGATCTGTTGCTGCACAACAGAAAGCGTGTACCTGTGGCTTCCCTAAGGTTCTCAGAGCAGTTTCCCCTGCTTTGAGCTGCCAGGCAAACCAGAGAGATGACCAGGAGGAAGATGTTTTGGAAGCATTAGAGATTATCACAGTCAGGAGAAAGAGCACTCTGAAGCAGATTTAGGCAACAATTCTGAGCTGGCAGACAGATTAGATCAGATGGTGATATCACTTACATCTTTAAATACTTATGTACTATGGAAGTACTTGACCAGTTAGATAAAGTGATATAAGTCTTACTAATGCAAGTAATCAAAGAGAGTAGTCAGGACGCAACAAGCTGTCATTCAAAACCATCTTCAAAATTGGTCTGGCTGAAGGGAGATGTGTTTGTGGTGTGCTGAACGTCAGCAAATTGAAGAGGGGGGCTGGAAAGAGAGCGCTTACACTCTGAGCAGGGAGATGTAATCTGCCTTTCAAAATATCTCACATTTTCCAGCTGAGGAAACAGGCAGAAGCGCAGAGTGTTATTCTTCAAGGCACTAGCACAAAGCTTTTTTAAGTATGCCTGCATTACAGCTTTCCTGCCAATTTCCTCCATCCTTGATACAATCTACTACTCAAGAGAAGAGAACGCTGAGCATCCACCTGGTGATGAGAAAGCCTGCCTTCCACCCACGCTGCCTCCCTCCCCGTCTCCTATCGGGAGGCTGATCTGGAGCTGTGCTCCTTTTACAGTCTGAAGTTCTGACTTTGGCATTCCCCTGACACCTCTTCCATCAGCTTGCAAGAGCTACAAAGGCTGGGGTCCTGGCACACACTCAGATCATGCTGTTCTCCTTTCAGGGTTAGTCATGCTGTCAGCTGCAGCAGGAAAAAGAACATGCATGGAAGGGGAAAAAAAATATCTTTTTGGCTTCATAGTCAAAACTTGCTGGTTCTGCCATTAAGTCTACATACATGTCACTAATTCTTTGGAATTAAGAAGTAACATTTCAGGTGCCCATCACCAACGACTCTTTACTGAAGGCTCACAGAACTTAATCCCAGAATGAGAGGCACACCCCTCGTCTTCAAAGCATAAAGTTTCAGTAAGGGAGGTGACTTGGCAGAGGAAGGGCATATGGTTTATGGGAAACACAGAGCTTCCAGGTGAGGCTTAAGGAACAGAGAAGAAGATAAGGATGACCTGAACCTACACAGAGGTGAAAGCATGAATGCAGGTCTGTGAAATGAGAGTGAGGGAAAAGGTAGCAGTGTTAAGAAGACTGCAGGCAAGCCACAGGACAACAGCAGAGGAAAGCAGATTTGTAAATGACAAAGTTTGGCTAAGGTGCCTGATTACAATGAAGTGATCAAAACCAAGCAGGATGTCATGAGGTGGTTCTGAATGGGGCTGAATGGGCAGGATAGAAGGAAAGAGAAGCAGACTTTTGCAGAAGCACTTTTGGGGATTGTGTTGACCAAGACAGAAAGACCACGAGATGGAGAAAGACAGTGAAAGCTGGGATAGGGAAAAAAAAAAACCTCACTGAACATACTGGGATGGTGGAAGGCAGAGAGAAGGATTAAGAAGCAGTAGTCAGGCTGTGGGCTCGGGTCATGGAAAGAACATCTCACCACCTCAGATGGCTGCATGAGGCTGGAGGGGGAAAAAGTACCAAAAATTCCTCACTGAACATACTGGGATGGTGGAAGGCAGAGAGAAGGATTAAGAAGCAGTAGTCAGGCTGTGGGCTCGGGTCATGGAAAGAACATCTCACCACCTCAGATGGCTGCATGAGGCTGGAGGGGGAAAAAGTACCAAAAATTATGTCTCTAAGTTCCCTTCATATGCTTGCTTCCCACAGGTCTGGCAGGTCAGACGCCTGTGGAACAGGCACTAGCTGATGCCATTGTGGACACCATAGATGATTTCATGACGCTGTTCCCTTGGGCAGAGAAAAACCAGAACGTGAGAGTAAGACGACCACTAATTTAAACAAAGATAGCCATGCCATGACTCTGTCTGTACCTGAGCACCTCCTCTGGAGAAACTGCCGTGTGTCAGTCCCTGGGTCCATCACCGCACTTCAGCAAAGCTGAGGTGGAGGAGCTCAGTGGTCCTTCCTCAAGCCTAATCCAGCCAAGGCCTTCTGCTCCCTCCCCACCCCCTCCTTCACCAGATTTTTTTTCACCCTCGGTAGAAATGATGAGGCCACCATGAGCCACTCCTTACTAGCTCACCTTGAATCAAGGATATCATATGTATATACATCAAACTGCATTTCAAAGGGGAAAGACAGGACGCTTTGACCCCAGCCGGCACCGTGCAATACCTGTATCTTGTCGCAAACACACTAAGCTCAGATCTTTCAGCTAATTCAACAAGATTAACAGCCCCATCCCATCTTCTTTTTGTGCTTCTGCATCTTGATCTCTTCTTAGTTTTAATAAGTATCAGTCTTCGATAACATCAGCTGTCAGGGACAAATGCTTTTCAGTTACCAGAGTGGTGTGAGACAGTGGGCGCTGCTGAAGAGGGGAGGTAGCACATCCCTCACTGTCACTGCGGCCCCACCTCAGTCCTCTGCAATGCTTCTGCAAACACTGACGCCAGGCTGACACACTGCCATGGCTGCTTTAATGCCCAGGCAAGTCCTACAGCATTTGGTTTGTGGGGTTTTTTTTGGTTTTTGGGGGTTTTTTTGGCATCAGCCCAGTCCCTCTCACCAGAGCCCCAAATGCAAGCATGCAGATCAGCTGCTGGGGGAAGAGGGTGATGGATGAGGTAACTCCAGTGTTACAACCGCTCCACGCAGCTCTGACCCAAGCAGATGACCTGACCATTTTAGGAAAGCGGCAGTGTAACAACAGGTCTTGCTATTAACCACCGGCACAGCCACCTTCCATTTATTCAAAGGTAATGTTTCAGATCAACTAGGATATCTTATTACAGAAACCACGGAGTACAAAATGTTGCCCAAACCCAATAATAAATAATGAAATGATATGAAAGTGCCCTGAAATCTTCTCACAGGGGAAAATCTGAAACTGTAGTTGGAGGTTTTAGCATTCAAAAATGTGAATTACTTAATCTCCTAGTGATTTCCTAAAGTTTCCTAATTTGCGGAGGGGAGGCTGACGCACGATTTTTAATCATTTAGGAACAGCCACACTATTGCTGATGTGTTAGTGTAGAAGCACTACTGCCACAGCACTGCTGCTCCTTTACAGGGAAACTCCCACAGTAACACCTACATGTGTCCTAACTCATACTCAAGCACTTGTCCAAAATAAGGACCCACAGCACGTCACCAGTGATTAATTTAAAAAGGAAGAGAATTCACAGACAACCCTTATATGCCTGTATGCACGTATGCGAACAAGAGAGTGTTTTGGTGCCAAGGAAGATCGAGAAACTTACTTTCCGGGAATCTCTAACATTTTTCTCACGATTAGCTCTTTTCCCTCTCTCCTCCCGGGTCCACTGCCACCACCTTGTGGTAGAAGTGGCATCTATGGTCTTACAAGGTCAGACTTAAGTAATTTACACACAGTAAAGTCAGAAAACTTTCCCAGGCCTGACAAGTGACTACAGGAACACACATCCCTCAGAGAAAGATGTGCATTATGCTATCCAGCTGGTAGTAAAGAGGAAACCAAGTGAGGTAAAGCAAGCTGCCCATGGAAGCTCCACCCATGCCAGGCACAGACTCTCCCTTTACTCCACACTCACCCCCCCCCCCCCCCCCC